AGTATTTTCCTAGGATCTCATTAAAGTACTCTTTGCCATTATCACTCCTAAATACATGAATGGAAGCTTGGAATTGTGTTTTCACTATATTGTGAAACATTTTGAACACCCTCTACCTCTAATTTTTCTTTTAGCAGGTATACACAACTCGTCCTAGTGTGTTCATCTATGAACGTTACAAACCATTTTTTCCTGCGTTAGTTGTTATCCGTGAGGGACCCCATACGTCACTGTGAATTAGTGCAAAAGGTTGTGAAGGCTTATATGACAAAGGCAAGAAAACAGTTCGATGGTGTTTTCCTAATTCGCAAATTTCACACTGAAATGAAGACGGATCTTTATTAACAAATAACTTTGGAAACAAGAGTTTGAGATAATGAAAATTTGGATGTCCTAAACTAAAATGCCAAATAATTATTTCATTCTCACTAGACACTGAGAAAGACCTAAAACATGTGCTTTGTACAGCTTTCTTCGATTTGGATCCATCTTCAAAGAAATAAAGGCCACCACTTTCTCTAGCACTGCCAATCGTCTTCCCCGAGGTGAGATCTTGAAATTTACAATAAGAAGGATAGAAGTTAGCTGTGCAATTCAGATCTTTAGTGAATTTACTAATTGACAAGAGATTGCAAGAAAGCTTTGGGACGTGAAGGACATTATGAATGATAAGATTAGGAGTTAAAGGGATGGATCCTGTTCCGGCTATTGCAGAGAGGGAGCCATCTGCAACACGGATTTTCTTGTTTCCTACAGATGGATTATACGAGGAAAAAAACTTTGGATTGCGGGTCATATGGTCAGTGGCTCCAGAGTCAATAATCCAGGGAACTGAGGTTACACAGGTTAGGGCTAAGTGGTTACCTTGCTGGGCTATGGAACAAGAAAGAGAATTAGACATTTTTTGAGATTGAAAAAACTTATACAGGTGCTCCATTTGTTCTTTTGTGAATGGTGCTGTTTCCGAATTGATTTGCTCCACTTGAGAATCTTCATTCGCAATTTGAAATGCACGACCATCTCCAGTCGGTTTGTTCTTTAAATTTGGAGGCTTCCCATGTATCTTCCAGCAGGTCTCTCTGGTGTGCCATGGTTTCTTGCAGTGGTCACACCATGGCTTCTTCTTCCTGTCTCCTTCATCATATCCCCGGGTCACCAAAGTAGATTTATCTGCTTCTGTTGCTATTTCAGGGACCACATCCTTCAACATGGTATGTTGTATGGCCTCCTCCCGTCGTACCTCTGAAAACGTTTCTCACAGGGACGGAAGGGGTTTCTTCCCGAGAATCATGCCTCTTACTCCATCTAGGCTACTATTGAGTCCAGCCAAGAACACATACACCCGATCGTTTTCTTCTTTTTTCTTAAATCTTGCACAATCGTTTGGGCTCTCCCATTCTTAATCATTGTACTGATCTAACTCCTGCCATAGAGTCAACATCTCATTATAGTAGACAGTCACTTTTCGGTTTCCTTGCTTAGACTGCCACAGTTGAGATTTCAATTCGAATATCTATGATGAGTTCTCCAAATCTAAGTAGCATTCTTTCACTGCATCCCAGACATCTTTTGCGGTTGGGAGAAATAAATATGGTTTCGCTATGGCTGGTTCCATTGAATTCAGCAACCATGACATAACCTAGGAATTGTTTAAACCCCAGTCAGCCAATTTTGGATCATCAGCAGCAGGTTTCTTCGCCGCCCCCATCAAGTAGCCCATCCTTCGTTTTCCATCAATTGCCAGCTTCATCGATTGCGCCCACTCGAGATAGTTCGTGCCATCCCGTGAGCCTGATATGTGCTCGAATTCCCCTGGATTGATCGATTCTTGGGACTGAGAATTTTCAAATGTTGCATCTGATGTGGTGGCGCCTCTGCTTGCTCCGGTCATCGCCATTTTCGCCATTGTTTTTCCTTCTTAAAGAGCCAAGGCTCTGATACCATGTAGGTTTAGATAGAAGGGAAAAACTCTTCTTATATTTCTAATTATAACCGGTAGAGTACATAGGTTATTTATAGAATAAACAAACGTAACCTAGATTCCATAATAATAGGAAAATCCTAACTACCCTAGACCTGAGATACTCAACCATATAAATCAGGTTGTTTATTCAAAAACTAAATAACTAAAAATCCTCCTAATATCTCGACAAAATCATAAGAAAACAACACCATATATAGCATTTGCATTATGGAGAAATTAGAAAAGTAAATCCAGATGGTACATATCTCGCTATTAAACAATACAAATATTGTTCAAAGTAAAAGAGAATGTTCTCATCAACGACTTTCTCTTAGCTGATTCATATATGCTTTCTTTGTGTATCTTCCTTTGTATATGAAGCACAGAGTCCAGGCACTGTACATAATAATCAAGAAAAGAGGAAAACCGAGTTAATATTATAGGAGAAGTACATAAAACATTTGCAAGCACAAAATGGCTCCAAAAGGAGAATATCAATAAATATATATCAAGAGGATGTGATTTTCTGTATTCTAGAGACGACCTACTTACCATTTCAATCCTAAAATATATGACACAGCTAGTTACTATTGTTTTATAATATTTTCTGAGCAGCATCGTAAAGAACTAACAGAACTTTTTTTTTCCCTGCTCTGGAAACTAATAGAACTTTATAATTAGTGTTAATTTGTGAAAAACAATTAGCATATTTGACAATATAGCTTGATTCACAATAATCATGGTTAAATTCCTTTGATTTAAGATTTCCACCCTCAGTTAGTATTCTAAGTGTGGAAATTTCTGTTTGAGATACATGCTACAAGGTACACTGTTTCATATCATATAGGGGTGTGCAAACTAACCAAACTGTTTCTTTTAGGTAAAATACAAACCAAATAATTACATATTGGTTTAGAGATTTTCAAACAAAACCAAATCAATTAAGGGATCTAATCCAATCCAAACCAAACTGATTGTAATTAGTTCAAATCAAACTAATTACGATCAGTTTCAATTAAGAGATTTTAAACTAATATCTTACAACTTCTTCTCAAGTCTCAACTATATAACTGGTACTAATATTTTGTGTACTCTTTTGTCTCTTGCTCTCTTTCTTCTAAAGACAAAATGAAGTCAAAGCAATTAAATTATAGATATATTTATATAATATTAGTTGTGACTTATGATTGAATAGTTGTGACTTATGATTGAATACGATATTCAGTTTTTTTAAATATATGAAAGAAAACAAATATAGGCAAATTAGAGACACTTATTATTAAAAAGGCTAATTCACGTTAACAAAGAGATAAAATTTTAGAGAGAATCGCCTTTAGAACCTAGTGTAGTGATGAATGAGAGGAGAGGAGAGGAAAGAGCTTAAGGGTAGACCGTAGCGACAATGATAGTTCCGTATATATAAGTTATGATAGAAACTTTTAGGATTAAGATCACTTAGTTTTGAAATAAAGGAGTTTTTTAAAAATAAATAAGTTATAGATATATGAAATACCTATAATTTTCATACAAATTGGTTTAGTTTGGTTTAATTTTTTTGGGGGTAAAACCACAAACTAAATCAATTTAATTGGTTTTTTAAAAGTTTAAACCAAATCAAACCATTATTAATTAGTTTGGTTCAGTTTTCTTTTAGTTTGGTTTGATTTGGTTGGTTTGAATGTCACCCCTAATATATATATATGATATGATTCCAGAGCGCCCCTCATCCAGAGCTTATAATTCCCTTAAGAATTTTTCACATACTTTTGAAGTGTTTGAGACAATTGAATAAGTTTTTAAACAAGTTGACTCAACTAATATTGGCAGACAATGGAAATGAAAGCTTTCAAAACCTCCGTACTATAATGTTACTATCTAACTAGTCAGGTGAGTGGAGAGTATAACTTATAACTTTTCAATTGAAAGGAAGAATCATTCTCTCATAATTTATAGCTTTAGAAACAAAGGAGAAAATCTAATGCGTTAGTCTAGCTAGATAATGAACGTTATATGAACCCAATAATAACTCCACTGCAATCAATTATACGTCAACCACTACGTTTTAAACGAAAAATAATCTATATCGATCTCTTCCTAGATAATGGATATTTATAAACATAATTCAACTGTTGTAGCATATTACTACAAGTTTTCGATAACCATGCTTCAAATAAAACATAATTTTAACTCTTCTCTCTTGTAGCATATAATTCCAAAATGAAAATAGTGCATCAATTGTGAAATACTTTGTCATATTAAGTTGGAAGCTGCTTTTTATTTTGTTAGTAAGCCCTATAATAAATTAATAAATTGATAGAAGGAGTATCTAGAACACCTTAATTCTGTCCTATTAGTACTTATGTAGTTATGTACCATTAATTTTAACTATCCCGCATGATTTGTACATGAACTGTTGTACTCTTTGTCCTTTTGTTTTTAAAAGCTGTGCAAATAAGTGTGTCACAGGAAAGAGAATCATAGCAAGTCCATCAACAACTACTAGCTATGTTTCAATCTTATGTTAGAAACAGACCACATTATATTAGTCATATAAGCATGCAGATTCAATAACCATTGTATGTTTTGCATGTATGTATAAATGTGAAGATACATGAAGATTTAAATGCCATGCACCCAAAAATGAAATATATATATATATATATATATATGAGATGAAGGGAAAAAGAGAAGGACAATTAACAGAAAAAGGAAAATACTAGATAACGAAATGAATGGTAACATTTAGAGATAATTTAATAACCACCTTATTATTTGTTGTTTAAAACATTTTGTCTCATAAAACTAACTTGATTCTAATAAGCGTTTATAAAGCTTTCTATTTTGATAAATATATGTATAGTATATTCACCAATCTAAAAACGTAATATTTTATCACCATTCACTCAATAGCGTAGCGTGGAGGGTGGAGTAATAAAAATATACAGAAGTAAAAAGAATTCAACTGTAACATAAAAGTAAAAAAGGTATTAGATATGTATAAATACCTAAGATGAATGCCTTGTATAACATGAAAGGTTCAATTTTGTTGATGATCTCCTTCCGACTTCTGTTGTGAACTGATGATAAGCTGTGTTTGAAGCTGATAATCAAGAGGAGGAGGATGCACTTGTTGTTGCTGAGACTGGATGTGATAATTAGGGACGTTATCGAAACCTCCCAAACCCAATGAGGGTGACACAACACCACCACTAGGAGAGCCACGGCCACCACCATTCATCTGATTACTAAACCCTCCGCTTACCGGCGGAACATGATCGAATCCGCTATTAAACATTTGCTGCTGATGATGATGATATTGTTGAGCATTCATCGGCTCGCGGATCAAGAGCTGCGCAGACGCATTATTGGTGGGTTGAATACCAAGAGTTGGAGGAGGCGGAGGAGCCATGCCATAGGAGGGCGGCGGAGGCATCATCACCATCATAGCCTGTGGGCCAATGTAGGTGGCGAGCTCCTTCTTGGAGGCGTGGACCTCCGCCTGGATCTGCTTAAGGCGGTTGTGGAGGATGGTGATGAACCCGACGCAGCCAAAGACCGGATCCCTCAGGCGAGCCTCGGCCTCATAAGCAAGGGAAATGGCAGCCTCCTCACGGTGCACAACCGTCAGCTCATTGAGGATCTTGGCTACATTGCTGGCGCCGTACACCTTGTGGACGCTGGCAAATTTCTGCGGCTGGTCCGGTGGGAAATAGGGCGCAAAAACACACTCCTGCGTACATTTTCTCCTCAGAAACTTGCACGCCGCACATGGAGAGTGGGAGCTACTTGACGCCATTATTTGGATTATTTGTTTGGTTGAATTAGATCTGCCAACAAAAAATTCAAGAAAATAAATAAATAAAAAGATCAAACAATTACCGATAAAATATCATAAATAAATGAAAAAAGTAAAGAGAGAATTAAAGCTAACCCTAGATTTGAGAGAAGTGAAACAGATATGCAATTTTGTTGTCTATTAATTGAAGAGGCCGGCTATAAAGGAAAGACAGAATGAAAGAAAGAATTATATGATTGATAAACAATTAAGAGGAAATCACGATTCGACTAAAGATAAAAAAAAACGTTGTTTATATGATTTACATGATTGGAAAATTGTCTTTGATCGTCTCCTCCCTTGTTATTGAACTCAACGGTGGTGAAAATCAATTCCTCTTTAATCAAGAGAAAGGAAGGCAGAGGCGGAGAGAGGGGAAGAGACATGAGAGGGATCGAAGGATTTCAGTAATATGATCTGAAACATATTTTATTTGTTTAAGGTAAATATAAATATAAAACATTATTCCAATTTGTTAAAATGATATCATCAGCATTATTATTTTTTCATGAAATATCGTTATTTCTTGTTTTTTTTTCTAATACAAAATTCGTTATTTATGTTTATTATTAATACAAATATATTTTTCCTTAAAAATAGTAAATTTATTTTCGTTTCTTCCTATTTTAGAAAATTGTTTTTCTTTATTTAAGTAAAATTAGTATTGTTTCTTTTTTTTAGTTAATTTTTTTTAAACATTAAAAAATTATTTTTTCTGTAAAGAAGCACTAATGACGTGCTTATTGTTGCTATTGTTTTTTCTTTTCTTTTTCGCTCATCATCATTTCTTTTGTGAGAAAATTAGGTAAATAATCTTTTTTATCACATTTTTAAATAAATAGCCGAATATTTATTTTTAAGACTCTAGGAAAATGCTTTTTTCTACGGTAGTCAATTTCTAAAAAATTAAAAAGGTTTGATCATTTATTTTAAAAAAATAAAAATTTCAGCCATTTATTAAAAGGGAGGTCAAAAAACAATCATTTACCTAATTTTTTTCCTTTTCCCCTTTTTTCTATTTTTTGAGTTGGCTACAACTAATTGTTATCGTAAATTTTATTTAATAGATATAAATTGTTTTTTTAACATATTTGAGTATAAAGTTTTATTTTATAAAAAAAATGCCTATTTAGAGCATCTTGAGTCTAAAAATACCTACTTAATATTTTATTTATAAAAAAACATATTATCATACATATGAAGACATTCATATCCTTACCTAATGAAAAAAAAAATACTAATGAATGAACAAAATAGAAAAGATAAGATAGATTCAAATTTAAATGCAATGAAACCTATTTGTTTCAAGAAAAGGAAACTTTTTTATAAAACAAATAAAAAACTACCAAATTCTTCTTTTTTTAATAAAAACTAAACAAGTCTGCACAAAATCAATTTATAGACAAATAAACAAAACAATAAATAAAAAACCTCTCACATTTTCAATATCTTAATGAAAAAAAAATGAATACAAAGTTTCAAGCAATTCAAAATAATTAAGAAGATGTTTGGTACCTAGATTCGTTTTCTGATTCGAATCATGGTTCGTGGTTCGCTACAGTATTTTCTCTCATAAAAAATACACGTAAATCAAAAATAACTCTAATCACATGATTCTAATCCATGAACCAAACGTCTCCTAAAAGACTTGCCAACAATACTGTACAACCCTTTTGTCCTAGTGGATCTCTTTTAACATATCAAATATGTTGCTGAAAATCAACAAGAAAACAAGAAGGATTAAAACTAAAACTAGGATAAATTTAAAAATAACAAATTTTTCTCTTGAATAATTCACCGTTAGCACACGCCCCTTTTTTCCGCTCTCTTCATTAAGTTTTAAACGTTAAGTATCACGTTAGTGACATATAACTCTTATTTTAAGGGTAATAAGTAATTTTTCTCCCGAATAAAATTTTGGTAGAAATAAGTATTTTTTAATGTTTAAAATAAAAAACATAATATTAAAAAAATCAAAAAGGAAAATCTCTCTCTCTCTCACACGATCCACCTCCAGCGAGCCCAGATCTGCAGCCAACGACCCCACTCGCGCGATCCACCTTCGATGAGGGAATGGAGTGCGAGAAGCCCAAGAAATGGGTCTGACGGAGAAGTAGTGGGTTTTGGCTTCGGTCGGAGAACGGAGACAAGACCATGGTCGATTCGGCAATAAAGTAGTCATTTTTTATGGTGTGATGTACGGAAAAATAGAAGAGAGAGAAACTTGGGATTTGCAGAGAAGCTTTACTTTATTTGCCCGCCATTTTTGTGAGCTCCTTCTGCTTCTCCTGCCTGATAGTAAGAACTTTCCAATGGAAGTGACGATGGATTGGGTTTTCCACTTCTTGGGTTATTAAACAAATTTAGAAAAAAGGAAAAACAAAAAGATTAGAAATGTCTAAAAATAATTCCTCTTCTTTTTTTCCCGAAGATATTAATTATTATAAGTCATCAGACATATGACGTAAATAGAAAGTCATGTAAAATCAGATGCAAGAAAAGAGAGAAACTGTGAATTTTTTATTTTAATTTTGGTAGATCTGAGTTTTAAAGGAAAAATTATTAATTCATAATAGAATAAAAATTAAGGGCATGTTTTTTTGTCTAAAAAACTCAAAAAAAGACAACTCAAGTTTCAACTTTATTTAAATTCACGTTTTTTAAAGTTTTAACTTTATTCAATTTTACTCAACTTTATTTAAATTCTAACTTCAACTCAAGTTATAACTCAAATTCAACTCAAAAACTACACTCAAATTACACTTTAAAAAAATAATCTCTAAATATTTTAGCGACTTATAGGGTTCAAAATTCAACCATATGACAAAAGAGATGTGTGTTAATTGTGAATTATTCAAAAAACAATTTGCTATTTAAAGAGCATTTTGTTAAAAGGTCAATAATTTTATCAATCCCGGGTTCGCCCTACACTAATACTCACGCCGCACTAGTCATACACTACCCAAGCCTAAATTCAAAAAAAAAAAATGATGAGAGGGAAAATATAGGGTTAGCTTTAATTCAAAAAGTTATTACAGAATAATAATTAAGATCGAAGTAAACGGGACCGAATCTGTATTTTCTTTGAGAATTATAAAACGCGGCCTATCATTCATAAAATGATACGTACAACAAGCAAAGAAAAAGTGAAACTTTATTGGCTTATACGAGGAACCAATGCCTCCTAATAATTCAAAGAGTCAAATAATTGCTCGATGTCCTTTAATTAGAATCAACCAAGTCTTATATAATGGCTTGCTTAACGTTCACATTAGGGTGACAATTCGTGTCACGTATTGTGTTCGTGTCATGTTTTGATCATTTTTTTTTAAATTTACAGTCAATCCAAACACGACTCGTGACACGAAATTTTTTAAAAACCGCAACACAAACACGACACGATCACTTTACGAGTTGACACGACACGACTCGAAAATGACCCGTGACACGAAATTGACCCGTGAACCCGAAATTGACACGAAAATTGTATACTTTTATTTAGTTTTTTACATATTTAAAATAACTTAAAATTCATAACACACTAAATTACAATAACATCCATTGAAATTAAGCAAATAATAGTATAAGATTTTGAATATAACTATCATGATATCACAAGTTCATAATAAATTTTAAAATATGTCATGAAAAATATATGTATTTTTTAGTTTTTTACGAGTTTCGTGTCGTGTTCAGGTTAGGCGGGTCTAACCCGAAATTGACCCGTGTTTTTCGTGTCAATTTCAAGTCGACCCAATTCTGACCCGAACTTCTTTTTTCTCAACCCTAACCCGCAAAATTCGTGCCATTTTCGAGTCGTGTCGTCGTGTCGTGACCCATATTGTTGGCCCTAATTTTATGTATATTTCTTAGTTTTTTCCTTTTATTACAAAGACTTTACTTTCATCTTATTGGTTTAATTACACCCAAAAAAAAATAAAAAAATAAACTTTTTTAAAGAAAGATTAAGGGGAATTAAAATGCATATAATGTGCCTAAGACCGCTTGGTCTAGTGACAGAGGGGGTTCAGGTAGGGTAGGGTTTTGGGTGTGGCTGTGGATTCAATTTTGTGTTAAATAAAAAAAAATGCATATAATGTACATGGAAAATCTACCTCAATATCATATTATTCCTATTTTTTCTCATAAATCACAACTCTACCAGTGTTTTTTGAAAACTTAAGGCGTAAAAAGAGCTGTCAAATGAACCGTATTGCACTGGTATATTTGACTAGACACACTGTATTGTGCACGACTCATTTTTCATCCGCGTCATATCATGCTTATCTACAAATCTCTTCGTTACCCTGACACAGTTCGTTGACTGATATTTTTATATATTGTACCGTGCCAACTCACATGCTTAATCTATTAGAATAAGCTGTTTTTAAAATCAATTTGTGTGTCCTATTTTAACTATCTGACATTATTCTAAATAAAGTTTAGACATTTTATTTACAATTCAATGTGATCATCGTTTTTTGTTTATATTTGTGAGTGAAACATTGTAAGGATTCAACACTAGCGAAATTCCTGTAATGAAATGCGTGTAGTGTTCATATATAGGATATAACTAAAGGACTAAGTGTAATAAAAAAGTACACAATTAATAAATAAAGCAGGGCACTTTATTTTTGAGAAGATTGTTATATTATTTATTACTGAATTTTGAGGAATGATCTTATCTAAATTGTTATAATTTTGATTACAGTATAGAGACATGAATGTATTGGGAATACATAAATTGGACCCAAATAGGATTAATACTTTAATTAAATTTGTTTAAAAGACGGAGAATTTATTTAATTATTAGATGACCAATTTATGGACGTACTAACCTCAATCCTAAGTGATTGATAGACTCACATTCATATCGTATTTCTATTGATTTACCGATGGATGAGATTTGTTTGGAAACCGATAACTCGCATATTCTAAAGACATGATATTATAAATCGTTAGGAATGTCATATCAGAGATACGGAATCTATTTGTTATGAAGGTTAATGATACGATATCCTTATGCAGTGTCAATACGAGAAAGGTGTAAGATTGCTCTGACTTATTCTATATTAGATATTGAATTAATTACCGATGTCATTAAA